TCTAAGTCTATTAAGAAGAAATTATGCAGTCCTCGCCACCGTCCGTTTCAGAATATTTTCTGTCTTTGTGCTCACTGTTGTTAGTTCTGTTTTCTCCTCTAGTTACCTGTTAGATCGTTAACCTCAGCCTTCTCTGCCCCAGGCCCTGTGCCGGGGTTCAGAGGCACAGAGAGAAGCAATGTAGACTCACGGTCCACGGGGAGCTCACCACTTTTGTGTGGTGAAGAAGGACACTGATGAGGAAGTCAATCAACCATGTTTGCAATAACACTAGTATTTACTGTTAGGTTACAGGAAGCTCCCAGAAGAGGAATTGCTCCTCCTTCATGGGCTGAGAGAAGAGTTCAGTGTTGATCTGAATCATGATAAGTTGACGTGTACCATGTCGACGATAAGAGAGAGGGAACATTAGAGCACGTTGGGAAGTACTCGACGGGTCTCTGAGTCGGAATCGACTCGATGGCAGTGAGTTTGGTTTGGTTTGAGAGGGTGATAAGACTACATGGGTAGAGGGGTCAGATTTTATATACCATGCTTAAGAGTTTATTTTTATTGTTTAGGCAGTGGAGGATCTAAACAGGGACATGACCTGAGCTATTTTCTGTAAAAGACTGGTGGGTGATAGGAACAATAGATTGTAAGATAGGACTATGATCTAGACTAGAAATGATAAGGACCTTACCAAGACAGTGACCATGCGGCCCAGGACTAGATAAGGGATGGGGGAAGTTGGTTACCAATCAGTGGGCATTATTGTTGGCAGGAGGAAGCCTTGTTGGCACTGTTGGGTAAGTATTGGGCTGCCAACTGCGAGGTTATCAGTTCAAACCCACCAGTGGTTCTATGGGAGAAAAACGAGTCTGTCTGCTCCCATGTTTTGAGAGTGATGAGGGCAACAAATGTACAAATGTCCTTTACACCGTTGATGTATGAATGGATTGTGATAAGAGGTATGAGCCCCTAATAAAATGATTTAAAAAAAAAGATTTACTAAGTGTCGGAAACGGTATAGGACCATTATGAGTTGGAATTGACTGGCTGGGCTGGCAGTGGATTGGGCTTTGGGATGCTGGCAGGAACCTGGCAGACTAATTTGATTGACAGAGAGCACTTGAGGTTGGGCAAAGAAGAAGACAATATACTTTGTTAGGGCTCTTCACTTTAAAAAAAAAAAAAAGGTTGTTTTCAAAGTGAGAGGTAGTTTTGTACATTTGAAACCACCTCAGGATGTCCCTTGTTGTATGATTCCCCTTTGCAGGACGAAGTCTGCCCTGCCCCTACAGGCTCTGTAGGATGGGGTGCTGTGAACACGGGAGAACTGCCTTTTCAGTTAGCTCATTACCACTGTTTGCAAAACGGTCGGGTCGGTGACTAGCGATTGTGTGCTATTCAAGTAACGCTGAAAGGACAAGAAGGAAAACCCTCCTGTCAGTGCCTAACTACAATTGTTTCAAGAGGCACTGACAGTTTGGGGAAAGTACTGACTTCTTATTTTTAGCATCATCTCTGATGAATTTTCCTCCCTGGTGTTTACATAATGAGAGCAGAACCAGCTGGAAGTGATAGAAACAGCTGTGTGTCTGGGGCGAGGGGAGAAGGCAGGAGGGCAACACCCTATACGTTGTTTTCGTTTCTCTCATTGAATAGCGTACTGCCTATAAATTGTAGAAATCATAACAAAGGTTGTTTTTGAAAACCTTTGCCTGTATACTTTGAAATACGAAGTTCACCGGCTCGGGTTGGAACGGGGCTGCTCCTTCAACTACCCTTCTGGGAAAGGCATACATGTTTAATGTAGCATTGAGAGGGCCTTGTTTTCCTCTCCTCCTTTTCTTTCTGAAATATCATCTTTATATTTCAAAGCCTCCTGGCTCGAGTGTACCCATGAAAGCAAATTAGTCAACATCGCCCAAGGGAGGGTAGAAGAATTCTTCTGCTCCCTCTGAGGCGAAAACATTAGCTTTCAAGGCTGTTTCTAAGCTCTGAGGTCAGTCACATGGCTTAGTGAGAAAGGACGAAGGACGAAGCTAGGCACTGGCTGAGATCTGACCAGCTGTGTGGCTTCTACACTTTCCCCGCTTCTTCCTGAGCCTCCTTCTAAGCTTCCAAAGTAAATGGGTTGTACTCAGTGATCTCAACAGCATTCCACCAAGTCATGCTAAGATTCTAGGTTAAGTTCCTTTTTTGAGCCCGCCTGCCTGGAAGTGTAGCATCCGAGTAACCCAGACGTCGAGTCCGGTGCAGGCCGAGTGCATGCGTGAGCGATTGAGGGGTTTTCTCCCTGACATTCATGAAGTACTGAATATGTCAGGGGCTTTGTCCACAGCTGTCCAAAACGTTCAGAATTCCCTGCTCCTGGGCTACCACTCCTTAGGAAAGCTTTTGGCCAGTTCTGAGCACACGTGGCTGAGCCCCCACGGAGGGGGCCAGACGTGAAATGGTCAGCCTTCCTACATGGTAGCCCAGGACGTCTTTCCTGAAGAATGTAGTCAAAGAAACCTTATGGAGCAGTAGGTTTACGGTGTTTTTGGTTTTTGTAGGCAGCTTTTCATTAAGAATAGCTAGGTCATAATCATGGCTGGTTGGCTCATGTAGGTGCCCTACCGATAAAGTCTTCGCTGAACTCTCCCTCTGTGTTTCATGGTAGAAGAGGAAAGAATTTAAAGCAACGGGGCCAAAGATGATGTTCTTTCTAACATCCTGTTCAGGCAGTTGATTGTAGAAGCTACTATTCACACCCTGTCCCCAAAGAGTGTGGGATTGTGGCGAGGGTTTCCAGATTCCAGAAGTCAGGTGTATCAGGGAATTAATTGCTATTTTGTCTGAGTCACTGAAAATACACCTCAAAAACTAAGCTTGGATTTGGCCCCACCATTAATGAGCTATCAGATTTGGACACTGCTTTCTGCTAGTGTTGTCATCAGAAGATACCGAAGGTCTCCTAGCACCAGCCTCAGTCTTGTCTCACAAGTAGGATGACAGAGGCCCATCTCACAGAGGTGACTTACTTGTGATCAGACATCATTTAATAGTGGCCTAAGTGTGGAAGATCTCAATGGGTGACTGAAAATAGAACATGGCAAGGGGGTCTTTAAGGCAGAGCCCTCTGTGTCACCCTCTCTTTTGTGCTCTCAATGCCAGTCCCCAGCGTAGGTCCCAGAGGTCTCTTCAGAGCCAGCAGGACTCTGAGATTAGGGACAGGTCAGGACAGGTGCTGGTCTCTTCAGAGCCAGCAGGAATCTGAGATTAGGGACAGGTCAGGACAGGTGCTGGGACCACCCATGTCGTCGATTTGCCCAGGATCCCTGAGAATAGAACCGTTGGAGAGCTGTCGTCGCAGAGTGGGAGTTCCTGGGCAGAAATGGACCTCATGGCATAGGAGGAAACTCGGGGCTCCCTGGGTAAGCTTCTAGGAAGAGAACAGGAACTGAGGGACCAGTTCCTATCCTGGAAGCCCTGGCTTGGACCAGACATCTAGGGTTGCTATCTTCCAGGTAAGTTGTGTGGGAGTCACAAGATGCTGTATTTTCAGAAAAACACATCCTTTTCTATCAGAGTTCACACTCAAAGAATGTTTCCCACTGCCTGTGGTAATTCTAGATCTAGAGGACTAATCCCTCCAGCCTCTTATCTCCGTCATCTCTGGCCTCCTTCGAAACTGACTATGGAAGATTGAATTAGCGACTGCAGACCCACCTGGGAGACTGGTTCAGGGAGCTCTGACGCAGTGGAGAAACCCTGGAAAGTATGTGGAGTTGGCCATATGAGAACTGTGCCACAGGGGAAACCAACCCCCAACAAGCAAGCAAAAGCACTCACTCTCCGGACTGCTTCTCGGTTCCTGCGTATCCTCTCATTTGGAAATCACAGCAGGTTGCCAGGCACTGCCTTGGAGCCAAGAAAGAAAAGAAATTGTGGTTTTGAGCTGTTCACTGTTTCTACTTCGCACAGTGAGTTCCAAAGTCACAGGGTGGAGACCGCGAAAGGAAGCACACTACTTCATGGTGCTTTCAGCAAAGATAAAATGTGTGCCTCTCTCAGAGCAGCCCAAACAAGGCCGCAGAGTCCCTCGCTAGCCCTGTGTGGACAAGGCTCCCTGTGTGCAGCGGGCTGTGGACAAGGCACGACGGATACCAGGAGAGGGGCCCACCGGCAGTTTCTTTCTCTCGGAGCCACTTCTGTGTCGCTGTAGCCGTCAGATGTTTCGGAGCTCTCAGTGTACACACAAACCATGGCGTTCCGTTCTCACCACCCTCAGGCTTCAGATCCACCATCTTCTGAGTTCAGTAACCCCATTCAGCAGCCTGCACTGTAAATTGGCAGCTCCTTTTGTGGTTTAACCCCAGAGCCTGGTGGCATAGTAGTTGTGTGGTGGCCTTGGTCTGCTAACCGCAAGGCCGGGAGTTCGAACCCACCAGTGGCTCCTAGGGAGAAAGGCGAGTCTCTCTGTTCCCATATGACTGCCTCAGAGGCCCTAGAATGGGGGGTGGGGGGTGGTGTCCCTGTGAGTTGTCATCGAGAGGATCTCTTGATTTTAGAAAGCATTCTTTTTGTTCATTTGTTAAAATGGTATGCCCTTGATGCTGGCATCTGGGTTGCAAAAATGAAAACTCTGAAACAACCTGGAGCCCTCTTCTCATTGTGTGCTTCCAAGGTGCGGGCAGTGAGACCAGTAATCCACAGTGTTTGTCGTTTGTGGTGTTCGCATATGGCATTCCCCCTCCTACAGAACTACCTTCTGACCAAATTCTACAGAGATCAGCACATGCTCCCTCATATCACATGATTGGCAGCCTAGGAGAGGGCTAGAATATCCGTTGTGGGAATCAATCAGATGCCAATGTCCTGGCCCTCAACCTGCTACTACCAGGTGACCTATCTTAGCGAGATAAGCTTTCCACCTTCCCAGATGACCCCCTAAAGATTGCAACAAGGACCCCTGTGACTGTGATTAATTTGTGCAGGGCCCATGAAAATCAGCTGTTTTCTCTTCCTCACAGAGTGAAGGCTGCCCAGACCGAGCTAGGACAGCAGATCCTGGCCGACTTCGAAGAAACGTTTCCTTCCCAGGGTACCAAGGTATTGTGCATTTTCCCGCCAGTCCTGAGACATTGTCACCACTCTGGCCAAATCCATACTCACCAGCCCTGGTGGGGCAGTGGCTAAAGCGTTTGGCTGGGGATCAAACAGACTGCGGTTCAAACCCACGAGTCACTTCACTGGAGAAAGCAGCAGTCAGCTTCTGTCCAGATTACAGCGTTGAAACCCTGCCTGGGGCGGGGAGGCAGTTCTCTGTCCTGCAGAGTCACTCTGAGTCAGATTCGGTGGTCGTGGGTTTGGTTTTGGGGGTTTACGGTGACCATTTCTCATTCCAAAAGCGTTTGCCGGCAGGTTTGGCCAGTGAGACCACCCTTAAGGAAATGTCCCCCAGAAGCAGCGCCCGTTCTTCATCTGCGTTTCTGGAGCGTCACATAGAGAGCTGTGTTATGGAGAACTGTAACGGGTGTCAGACCCCAAATCTTGTCAGGCCTGTAAACTCCATTGTCTCCCCACATGGCTGTATTAAGACAAAACAAAAGCATCTTCAAGCCATCATTCGTGGGGATTGTTACATAATTTCCTGGTCTGAGTGGTAAGGAGACGGGAGGATGTCCGGGCTTATGTAATTCTCAGACTGACACAGTTAGGAGCCGCACATTTCAGTCAGAATCTCCTTCTTTGGAGCTGCTGCCCCTTCCCATCTTCGGTTGCCTCGCTGTTTGTGCTGTGTCTGCAAAGCCCACAGCGCTTGGTTACACTTCTCTTGTAACAACCTGTCTGTCATGTGCCTGGGGAACGGCTTGTAGCGCTGCCTTCAGATAGCAGCAGCTGTCATCGTGATGCTTTGCATGTGTCAGGGTGGGGAGAACCTGTAGAAGCACCCCCGCACCCCGTTTCTTTGAGCTGTTTCGGCAGAAGGGGTTGGTGAAGGCAGAAGGACCGGAAGGACGCACACGTGGGCAGGCGGCCCTCTCTCTGCACTTGGTGGGTGGAGGTGAGGGAGCCAGGCTCATTTACTAAGGCAAGGCCAGCTTCCCGGACCTGGCCTATAATTCAGTAACTGGAAATATCCTAATCATTTCTCTTTGCGTGCCATACAAGAAACTGAGGAAGCAGGCAGGAGGGGTGGCCCGAACTGTGGCAGAGCCTTTTCTGTAAGAAGCCTGCTCCAGATGATAATGTGCTCAGGTGCCATGCGTGGCCCGTGGTAAGCAGCTTTCTCAGGGGGCCTCACATCTCGTCCTCACTGGGTAGAACTGCTGGGCCTGGCTGCTGGGAAGCCCTGACTTCTGTGTACTGCTCTGCAGAGAAATCAGAAGTCGTTGTGCGGGTGTTCACAATCATACACACTAGACTCTTTTTAGCCCAGATCCGCTTCACAGTTCCCTACTGTCCCATCCTAGTTTGAAAGCATTTTGGAAAGATGTGGCTGAAACTAGCTTTTATTATGATTTGGAGGAGTCTGCCCGTGTCTGACCTTCGACCTTTTCCCAGACTCCACCAGCCACATGAAGTTCAAATGGTTTTCGGCAACTTTCCTTGCCTTTATCTGGCTCTGTGACTTAATGTTTTTAAAAGAATTTTCTTGCCCCTCCTCACCCCCATGTTTACAGGTAATTGACTTTTTCCCCCCAAAAGGCCTTGTGTTACTGTTCCTATTTCACAAAAGGAAGTCAAGATACTAAGACTAAAATCATCCAAGGTAACGCAGTCCGGCCTGTTTGGAATGAAAAGGTCAGAACTGATAGGCTTTGGCTGCTACGCATCCTCATATCCAGCACTTCCATCCAGTAGCAAGAGCAGAGCACTTAATGTGCTCAGCCAGGAGCGTGCCAGCCGTTCAACCTGGAGCAGACCAGCGTTTTCAACAGTGTGGGTCTCGGGCAACTCAAGTCACACTTATGAAACCCCTGAGCTTCCATTGAGATGAATAGAATTGACCAGAATTGATGGGGGCAAAATCTTGAAAGATCTGGAAAGATCTTCTTTATCACTAAGTTAAAATCCAAGGAGCTCTGCTCTGCTGGTGTACTGGCTACTCAATGAGCTGCTGTCTGCTAGGTCTGTAGTTTGAAAACCTAGTCACTCCTCGGGAGAAAGATGAAGCTTTCTACTCCCCTAAAGATCTACAGCCTTGAAAACCCAAAGGGGACGTTCTAGTCTGTCCAGGAGGGTTACTCTACGTCAGAATTGAGAGCAGTGAATTTGAGTTTGAGTTAAAGTCCATTATTTTTCAGACAGGGCTGAGTTGCTCTGCCAAAGGCCGCTCGGCTAGTCAGACAAACCAAGAGTAGCTCTCGGGTGTTCTTTGTACTGTAGTCCGCTCAGCTAGCCACGTGCATTCAGTGCTTTACTATAGAGAAAGGTGCAGCCAGCTTGGATTGCTTTCTGTAAGAAAAAGGTCTTCCCTTTATGGGGTGTCACTCTCGCCCCACTATAGCCTCCCATTGTTTTTTGGGGTCCAGGAGGCCAGTACCATGATGTTTGACCTTGGCTGCCCATCTGGTTGGTTGCCTACCAGAAAAACACACCTGGTGGCTTACAACCTGTTTTTTCGCTTTTTTTGGTTTTGTTTTGTTTTTCGGTTTTAAGGGTCACCACAAATGTCGGTGTAAGGCCAGCAGTCCTAGCAGTCACGGTCAGAGGAATGAAGCACATGTGGAGCGAGACGGGCGTCCCTCTGACCTCCAGAGCCCTCCCGCAGCAGAGTGCTTTTGGCTGGGCATTCAGAAAACACCGTATCCCGTGGTCACTTCTGAGCTCCTTTTCCAAAATGTCTCGTGGCTGATTGACAGAGTAGCTGTCATGTTAAGACGGATATGTCAAGAGCGACGCGCTCATCGAGGAACAAGTCATTACCGTTAGAAAGGATGAGTGTCAGGGGAGTGGGAGTGATAACAGCAGATAGAGCACCGAGCAGCAGCAGCTGTCTGCAGCCAGGGCTTCTAGAGGTTGCTTCTGGCTCTCGAACTGCTGCTTCGTGTTGTTTGTTTTACCAGAGACCGGGAGGACCCAGCAATGTCCTAAGAGATGCGTGCCTGGTTGCTAATATTTTGGACCCTAGAATCAAACAGGAAATTATCAAGAAGTTTATTAAGCAGCATCTGTCAGAGTATCTAGTGCTCTTTCAAGAAAACCAAGACGTAAGTATTATCCGATGTCAGCTGTTCTTCTGCAAAATGAATATTCTTAAGCCTACTGATTTTTTTGCTCTAGGAGTATTACTGTCTTAAAGTGTTGATTGTTGAACCCCGAACCCTACTTTGGGGCTGGCCACAGTGTACTGGTTCTTATTCATTTGGGGGTCACTGGCCCTTTAGACAAATCAGTGAAAACTCTAGATCTTCTCCCCTCAAAAATGCCCCTGTACATAAATGTTGCATACAGTTTCAGGAAACTCACAGAAGCCCAACCGTGTTCCCCAGGTTAAGAGCCACGGGGGGCTGTCAGATTTTGGGAAACAGTGAGAACCGGAGAGGTTGGTTATCTCTGGGTTCTGTTTGTGCTTGCTGCCTTGAACTGTTGATGCTACTTCTAAGCACTGGAGCGGGTTTTGTCTCCCTGTCTTGATAAGGTTGCCTGGTTGGACAAAATCGATAGACGCTATGCCTGGATAAAGCGCCAGCTTGTGGACTATGAGGAGAAATACGGTCGGATGTTTCCACGTGAGTGGTCCATGACCGAGAGGATTGCAGTGGAATTTTGTCATGTCACAAGGTTAGATTCCAACTCTTCACCGGTTCTGGGGTTCATTTAATTGGCTGGAGTACAGCTTCCTCATTTCCAGTTCTAGCTCCACCCTCTGCTCAGGGCTTTCCTTTGGGGTATCCCTTGTCTCCAACAGCCTTTCTTTCCTGCTTTATCAACTCACGAGTCGTCACCAGAGTTGTGTACAGTGAATCATTGCCCCTGCATCTGTGTTCCACATGTCAGGGTGCAGTGCACAAAGACCTCCATCCTCAGTTTACTTTCTGGACTTGTTAGCTAGATAGTCGGTCGGGTCAAGGATACTAACTACTTTAAGGATCTTGTAGATGCTCTGGGTAAACACAAAACTCAAAAGGCCATGTCTGAGCATCACTCAACCAACTCAACCTTAGCACAATTCATGACCGCTGTCTTGCTGAAGGTCATAGAGAATATAACCAAGCCGCATTCTTTGAATATGTTTGGGGAAAGCATGTCATAGGAGAGATTGGCTAAGACACACAGTTGCTGTCACAGATTCAGAAACCACGTTTCCCTTGTTAGTGCAAATCTGTACCCCTGAATATAGTCACTCCATCACTTCTACAAGTGGAGTTCAGTGAATGTGTTTGGGGAAAGCATGTCATAGGAGAGATTGGCTAAGAAACACTGTTGCTGTCACAGATAATCTGCACCCCTGAATATAGCCATTCCATCACTTCTACAAGTGGAGTTCAGTGACAATGGTGACAGTCTTCACATTGCGTCACATCCTTACTAGCCCAGCCTCCGTTGTTTTGCCACCATTAATGTATGCTCGCTATCCCTTGAAGTGCTCACCTGTGCTTTCGCCTTACCGTTGTCATTTCAGTCTTATGATGTAGGGACTTCTGCAGTCGGGCTCTATGCTCAAGGCAGATAGGAGTGATTGAGTGAAATATGTCATTTAGTTTGTAGAGATGACTGTACAGCGTAGTTTCAGCTCAAGGTTCAAAAGTTGTTTCCAGGCAGTAGATCTGGGAAACCCTCCAGTCCCAATGTCTGTTCCTAATGATACCAGTTCATCTGGTCCCCAACGATAGATAACCTCTTAGATGAGCCAAGTCAATTGTGGCTGTCAGCTTTCCAAGGTCTCATTAGCAAAGAAAGAGTTCTCATTTTCGAGAAATTGTCAGCTCATTGTCTGTAGCCCACAGTCCCGCACCATTAGAAACGATGTGAAAAATGAAGCCTGCAGGAGCCTGCGAGTATTCTAAAGCCGGCAAGCCCCCATAAGCATCAGTGCCTGCTATTGTGTCTCAGCTAAGGACAGTGTTGTGCCAAGCCTCTGTGGCCACAGTTCTGGCCAAGCTCCCATAGAGACATAATTCTCAAATAAACTTAGACGCTCTTTGTCTACCTTTGTCATTCATTGGTGTGGGAAAATGGTGATAATGTGGGACTGACTCAGAACTTACTTGAGCTTATTGCCCCCCAAGCACTTAACATTCCGAAGCAGAACACTTGGGTGAGTTGTACAGGTCCTCAGCATATGGGTGTCACGCTTCCCATGGAGTTCCGGCCTTTGACGTGCGTTTTCAGTGCTTCTGTCCTGGTTGAAGAGATGGGTGTGGGTATTGAGTTCTCTGCAAGAACGAGGGCTTTGCCAATTTGTCCTTTGTGACTGTGGGTTGATGTAGACTACATGTATTTTCTAAAGCACCGAGCATTTCATGCACTTTAACAGGAATTTGTTTTTCCATTCCCCAGTGGTTAGACTAAGTTGGTAATGACCTTCATGGCTTGGAACTTCCATCGGCATTTCTTTTTCTGAATGTAGGCTAGAAGCGTTTTCTTTGGTCTTTTCTGAAATGAGTGATCAGTCATGTGACAGCATTCTTACCTCTTCGTTTTTTTAAGGACGGAACTTGCCAAGATCATGCGCACCAGAGCTAAAGAAATTGAGGTGAAATTGCTACTTTTTGCTATTCAGAGAACAACTAACTTTGAGGGGTTCCTTGCGAAACGCTTCTCCGGCTGTACCCTGACAGATGGAACCCTGGTAAGAACCCTTTGACGGAGGGTAGAGCGTGAAGCCAGCTGGTTGGATGCTTGGACTTCTCATCAGCCTTCCATGGTATGGGGATTCCGTCCAGCGACTCCAACATTTAATACCCCACTCCAGGGAGTTCTGTGAACTGAGGTGCAAAGTAATGATGGACGAGTGTGCATGGAGTGCCTGATGTTTAGAGCATGCGCTAGCGTCATTTGACCGCATTCACTCCGATGGAGACAGAGGCTGCACACACCCAGTCACAAGTGCGTTGCTTCCTTATCAGTCGTGGAGTCAGTCCATCAGCTAACTTCTCCACAGACAGCTCCAAATCTTCTAACTTCTTCCATTCAGATCTTCCTCCAGACCATTCTTTGTTCTAATTCTCACACCCAGGCAACCATGTGGCATTTTCAGTGCTGACAACAGACTCTATACCCTTCCAGAGTTTTTCCTGGAAGGTCAGTTTTGAGAGAGGCAGCAGAACCCCTATGGCTTCTTCCACAAGGCCAGCCAGGACTTCACTGCAGCCCTGCTGTGGGAAATGCGAAGGCCGTGCATCTCAGAGTGGGGCGGCTAACCATTTCTCAAGGAATTCACTCCTTCGTTGTACTGAACCACATGGGGTCTCCACAGAGCCTAGGTCCTGTCATCACTCCGCCCTGGGCTGAGTGGGGCCTGACATTCTTCACCCACAGCCCATACACCCTAGCGTCAGGAGTCGGATGGATTAGTCATGGCCACTGGCCCTGCTCCCGACAGACAGCACTGGGATGAGGCCAGCCTGAGCCGGGCCAGGAACTCCAACTGCTGCTGGGCTTCCTACCTAGAGACTTGCGCCTCCTTGGACTCTGGCCTCCTCCTGCTACTGCTTTGCTGCTTGTATATGCTTTTCTGAAAATCTTTCGTGGCCGCCCGTTGTTTCAGGTACCAGAATAAACCACAAAAGGAACCAAGAAACATGTTGATACCCTTTTATAAGTGCCAGATTTCATAGAAAACCAGCTAGCCCTCTGGAAAGTTACAACAGAGCACATAGGCGTCAACCTAGGAGCCGAGGTGACCAGAGACGACGCCTGCTCACCCCTCCTCTAGATCCCCTCTTTGTCCCCCAGCCACTTCCTTGTAATGTCTAGAAGCTTCGAAACCCTTGGTAAGGCTCCTAGGTGGTTCAAACCGTTTGCACTTGACTGCTGACCTAAAGGTTGGCGGTTCCAATCTAACCAGTGGTAACCAGGGAAGACAGCTGGTGATCCGCTTCCATAAAGATTGCAGCCAAGAAATCCCAAAGGGGCTGTTCTCGGTAACACACACACACAGTCACCGTGAGTTCGGATCAACTTGTCTGCAACTAACTCAGTCCCTGGTAACTGGCGAGGTGTGAGTGCCACCGTGAAGATGAGCGTGCGAGGGTGAGTAGCTCACCTGGGGGCACGCCGCAGCTCAGCCCCTCCTGATCGACCAGTCGGAGGCACTGTCTTTGCTGCGTCTTAAGAGATGAGCGTTAACGACAGAGTTTGTTTGCTTTCTTAACCACACTAGCCCTAGCAAGCGTGATGTGCAATGCTGAAGCTGTTATTTGGGGAAGTGAGCTGCCAACACTGCGTGTTGCCAACGGCCTGAACTTCTGGCCTTTTAGGAGGTATTTAAAATAGCTGTAAATTAAAGTGCCTTAAAATTAAAAGCAAACGTCTGGATGCGATTTAACTACACTCAGATGCGTTATTAGCGGCGCGATGATTGGATTCAAGGTGAACAAGCCCGCTGAAAGCACAGTCAATTTGAGCTAGGTTTTTACAACTGGCTCGGTGAATTTGGTACATTTTTACAATGCTTTTAAAAAAATTTAAAAATTTTTCACATTTCATGCATCTGGATCGCCCCTCTTCTGGGCCATTGCATAGTTACCTTTTTGTAGAGAATTTTCTTTTGGCTTACAGGGGGTCATTGTAATATACCTTTGGACGGACTTCGTTTTAAAAATGACTTTATATATAAAAAAAGAAAAGTCAACTTCCCAAAAAAATGACTTTATAAATATAGAAGCTAGAGTTGTGATTATTTCAGCTGTGCAGTGTGAGCAGCACAGTGTTTGCGAAAGGGTCACTCCTTACGGAAGCCCACCCAGGGTTGCTCAGCCTGCATCTTGGCCTTCCAGCAGCTTAACACTGGCTGTAGAGAGACGAGGGGTGGGTGAGTTTGAGGTGAGCTGGGTGTCTGTCTGCAGACTTGATACCTAAAGTCCCTGCCATCTAGAGTTTCCGAGTCTATAAATCTTTACAGGAGCAGACCGACAGCCTCATCTTTCTCTTTTGATAGCCTCATCTTTCTCTTTTGGAGTGACTGATGTGTTTGAACCTCTGACCTTGAGGTTAGCAGTCCCATGCCTAAATCACAGTGCCACCAGAACACCTTTTATTTACCTGATGAGCCTCCTTTCGTAGCCACGCTATTGTAGCCATGCTTCACTGATGCTTATTGGTAGTTGGCATTGAGTCAGCCCGGCTCCGTGTGACGCCACGCATAAAGTGAAGCACTGCCCGGCCTTGCACCAGTCTATTTCTTTTTCTTGCCTTATTGCTCCAGCGAGGGCTTCCAGCACAGTCTTGAATAGAGTGGTGCTTCTGCATTCAAGAGGAGTATCCTTAGGCTTTCTCTACCGAGCATAGGGTTGGTGGCGCTTGATTTTCCCTTTGAATCTTTACTTCTTTGTCCATTTTAAAACTGATGGATTTGCCTTACCGTTGAGCGGTAAGAGTTTATATTGCATATTAGAACCTTATTAGACATGTAATCTGCAAACAATTTCATTCTGAGGGTCATCCTTTCCCTTTCTCAGGGGTGGCCTTTGGCATCCAGACGGTTTTCGTCCCGCTAACTGTGGCCTAATTTAAGGTCACAAGAATTTTATCCTTCTAGCTCTTACATTTAGATAGTTCATCTCTCTTCAGGTGCTTCTGTGCATGACATGCAACTATGAACGTGTTTCTTTTCCTCCTATGTCACGTCGCAAGTGCTTTCTCACTCAGTGCGAACTGTTTTATTATATCTATATTTTGTCTTATTTATGTATAGCTATTGTTAGGTGCTTGTGAGTCGATGTACAGCTACCCCACGCACAGCAGAACAAAGCGCTGTCTGGTCCTGAGCCGTCTTCACCACAGCAGCTATGCGTGGGCGCCTCGTTGCATTGTTACTGTGTCAGCCACATCATTGAAAGTCTTCCTGTTTCTAAATGTACCCTCCACTGTACCAGGCTCGACGTCCTTCTCTAGGGCCTAGTCCCTCTTGATAACTTGTCTTCAAAATGCATGACCAGGTCTTGCTGTCCTCAGTCTAAGGAACCTTCTGGCCATGGCTCCTCCAATGCAGATCTGTTCATTCTGAGAGCCACTGACGGATACTTCAAGGGTGTTCTTCACCAGCACCCTAAGTCAAACTCTTCAAATTCCCCTCGCCATTCTTTTGTTGGAACTTTAGGCATTCGGGGTTTTTTTGGTTTGTTTGTTTTTAGTTTTATAAACAAGACTGAAATGAACATCTCTGAAAACACGTCTTAGAACAGAAGTGGAATTACAGTTACAAGATACAAGCGTTTGCACATTGAGTTAGCCTTAGTTTCATGATCCTGGTTCCTTGCGCTTATAAATGCCCCAGTGTCATCTCTCCCTGCTTCCCCCCGCCCCCCGCCAGTGTATTTTGTAGAGACCCATTCATTAAATCTTAGACAAGACACAAATGAATCATCTGGATGAGGTTGACCATGCTGGTGTCTGCAGCGCTTCATGTTAGCGATGGCATATTAAAATTCCGAAGAGCCGATTCCACTCTGTTTTAGTGCATTCCATGATACTAACGTGCTGAAGCCTAATAGAGAAAGTGATCCTGCCAAGTAGAGGAAGGCGTAGAGATCTACGTAAGAGGAAGAAGTCTTTGTGGCACGACAAGACTATTAGAGTGGAAAGCTGTTAAGGGAAACTTCTAGTTATGTTAGACATTCTCTGTTAGAGGTTATTTTTAAAATCCCAACAGCAATATATGCTTCAGTCCTCAGGTTATCTACTCAAGAAAATGTAAAACATCTGTTTACACACAAACTTGTACACAAATGTTCACAGCAGAATTACTCACAATAGCCCAGCAGTGCCCACCAACTGATGAGGAGAGAAATGAAAGGAGGCGTAGAGCCTTACAATGGAGTATCTCTTGACTATAAAAAGCGCACAAAGTACTGAAGCAAGCTGTGCCATGGAGCAATGTGGAAGACGTGGCACTGTGTGCCACGAGGCAACCACAAAAGTGCCCCCTACTGTATGATCCTACTGAGATGAAATGCCCAGGACGGGAATGCAGAGCGACAGAAGGCAGACGAGCAGTCGTCAGCGGCCGGGCACGGGGGAAATGAGGAATGGCTGCTAACCGGTCTTAAGTTTCTTCTCGGGGCCAGGGGAGAAAAATGTTCTGGAATGAATGGTGATGGCCACACCATTCTACGACTACTGAAAACACCACATTGAACACTTGAGAATGGCGAATTGCATGCCATATGCATGCTATCTCTTCTTTAGCCAGGGTTCTGGAAAATGCTGTCTGAGTCCACTTACAGATCTCTGCTTTTCAAAGCCATCTTTTCAGAGTAACCCATGCTCGTTCCGCAGTCACACAGAAGAAAGTACAGTGTATGAAAAGGAAGTTCTCCTTCCTCAGCTACTCCAAATGCCTCTCCCCAGAGGTATCTACTGTTTTATCGGTTACTGTTTTAGACCGTTTAAAGACCCTTTCAGAAGCAGGCGTGCATAGGCACACACACGGGTTTGGTTTGTAGAAAATAGAACATGTTTGTCATGCTTCTGGGGAGGATTTTATTGTAGGGCTTCTTATCAGCATTGACCCACCAGTGTTTCCCAAGCTCTCTCTCCGTACAGGGTCCTGCCAGGCCTTGGGGAAAGATGCAGCATTGAATTAGACAGGTGTCGATGGTCTCATCAGACACGGAGACCAAGACATTGGAGCAGCAGGGAAATGCGTGCCAGAGCCTGTGCTTCACGCAGCCTGACGATCAGCTGGTCGCTAGGCCGTCTCCGTCGAGATCCATCAGGACTCGGGCTGGGGCTGGATCTCGTGTAGACAGAGAAACAGGTTGTGGAACTCTTGTCTCAACTGAACACTTTCTCTTCTAGGAAAGGAAAACAAGATTTGTTCTCTGAAGAGTCCTGCTAGGGCCTACAGAAAAGGATCCGTATAGGCAGCCCCAGATGTGGCCATGCTGCTGACTCAAGCCAGGCTCTCTTGTCTTTAGCAAAGTGGGCAAACTGGCCATCCTGTGACCTGTACTGTTGTGGAGGTGTTGGGAAGCTCTTGCGATCCAGTCAGTAGGCATTACTGTGCTATACGGAGGGTTCTGCCTCTCTGTGTGGATTTGCCATCCTCTGTAATAGCAAGAAAGGATTCTCTTAAAGTTGGAAAGCTGTGCATTGGGGAGCAGGCCTCTGGTTTCATGTTGTAGCCGCCGCGCTCTTGGAAACATCCAAACTCATTCTAGACGGTCTGCAGCAGCTGCAGCACAGGAAGGGGCGAGGTATGCTCCGGCTGACGCTGACCGGGGCCATGCACAGAAGGCCAAGTTGTGCCAGGGATTGCTCATTGCCAGAATGGGTTCTCTCATGACAGCAGCGCCATCAGAGCTGTGGATGTCACCCTCTCAAGGGAGAGCAACTGCAACTCGTCCCTAAACCTAGCGGTACCACTCATGGCCTAGAGTGCAAATGACTCTCGTGCCAGGATTTCAACGGAAGATGTTACCAAGCAAACAAAAAAACCAAAACCCCCTATTCTAAATAAACACATGCGAAACAAAAACTACATGTCACCTTGGCTTTAAGACTATTCAGCTTAAATGTGGTGAAGAAAGCTGATGGTGCC